AAGAAGAAGAAGAAGAAGAAGAAGAAGAAGAAGAAGAAGAAGAAGAAAACTTCATTAAAGCAGGAAAGGCAAATCTCTTATGCTAGATGCTAAAAGCTAAATAATATGACCAGGAACATTGTGGGGAATTCTGTGTTATTACCCCAAAATGCTTGAAAGATGGGTTTTTTCCTCACATTTGTTGATGTTTAACTATGTCTACCACTTCTGTCTGTCTCTTCCTCCACCGTGGCTTCTTGGATTTTGTCATAAACCAAGTCCATGCGACACTATAATTTACTTAAATATATAGCCAAGAAAAGGGCATTGCAACACAAAAGGTAGGTGATGGATTACCTGCTACAATCCTTTGGGGCTGAAACTCAAGGCAATGAGCTGCTGTGACAATCCATTTTTCATTGATGATGGTACCACCACAGAATCCTTTCCCTTCAGAATTGAGCAAATGAACCTTGGAACAGGAAGGGGGGGAAAACGTATCAAGTCAAGTACTGTTGGTTGAGAGCAGAGGAACTCAATGGTTGAAAGGGAAAGCCAAAAACTTGATGATGAAATTGAGTTGAACTCATGCTTCTCTAGACTGTGAGCTTCCAGAAAGCTTCTGGTGGGACATGATGGGAGACAGATAGGATCCCAAACTATACTTGCTGATGGCCTGGTCCTTTAGAAATCTGCATTTTGGGCAGCACAAATGAATATCTTAGCAGGTGACAGTACCTAACTAACTTTGTCTAAGTTTTGGAAGCTAAGCAGGGGCAGGCCTGGCCAGTATTTAGATGTGAGGTTATTAGAAAGTCCTGGAACTGTAAGCTACACTAGGAAGTATCTCAGAAGAACACATCTATATTGTTGTTGTGAAGTAGCTGTGTCCATGAAGTCATCAATAGTTGGCTTTGAAGTTGAGTTGGGATAAGTTGAGTGTCAAACTTGACTACAAGTAAACATTGACTTCTGAGTATTCTGTAAGGGCCTCAAAACTGTTTTGAAACCTTGTAGATAAATACACAGGTTATTTCTGGCCATTTACAAAATATCAACATTTCTGTGTTAGCAACAATAACCAGATTTTGGATGGATCTTAACCCATTAACCAAAGAGCTCCCTGTACAGTACATGAAAGTCAAGGCAGTTTTATTATAGCATCATTTTTGGTTCCAAGGAGGGTTGTAAAATGCTATAAAATAGCTCAAGCCATGAATGAATGTGCTGCAGAAAGAACAAAGAGAACATAGCTGTTCTCAATCCATCAGAATGTGTTTTGTTATATTACGATGGATAATATTCTTAGAAACAGGTCTCTGTTCCTTTAAAATAGCAATGAGAAGAGTTGCCTTTAGATGGCACCAAAGTGATATTAACTGGGCAAAACATAATTTATATCATTAACTCTTCACAAGGTTTTGGTAGAATTTGCATAGGACTTTGGGACTATAAAGATAGGGTTTGTTTTAATGCATTTTTTTTTTTTTGCCATGTCCTTGAATTTTATGATTGGGTGTGTGTGTGAAGGGGACACAGTTGCGTTAATTCACCTGGTGCATTCATCCAGAGGAAATAATAAAGCCACTGAGTGGCTGAAGACTGATGAATAGAAATAAAATAATTGTTCAATCTGGTTAGTTTGGGGGGGAGGGCAGAGAACTGGAAATTCCCAGGAAGAACTAAGAAAGGAAGGTGAAGATATTGAATGAAGATGTAAAGGACTAACTATCACTTAATATCATTTCTTTGCCATGCCCCTGGTGGAGAGCAGCAACTCTGGACCAATGGTGGAGACATCTCAAGGTCCTACCTGCCAAGGAACTTCTCCTTTCTTGCTTTCCATGCCGCCAACCACTCGTATCCTAGCCGACAAATGAAAGGAAACTTGTGTGTGGTTGTAGCCTTCTTCCAAGTCCTCAGTGGCATTGCTTGAGGAGATCCAGTGATCAAATGAGTTGGATGGATGGGAGCGAGTGAATTTGATCTTGGCTTCCGGAGCTTGGATCATTCCACAGGGAA